TTAATAATATTTTTTTATTAAAACTAGACAACTTATTGATTAGATTTAACCCAAAGTTAAAAAAATGAGCACTCATTTGGCAGAAAAGAAGAGTCGCTATAAAGAAATATATGACAGGATAATTTTGTAATGGTGTTAGTTTAAGTTCATAGAGATTCTCGAATTGTATTAATGTGATATAATTTTTCTTCATTTCAACTTTTACACTTCTTTTATTTAAAATATTTTTGGATGTCTCATTTGCTTAGTGAATTTTTTGTATTAAGAATGTCTTAAGGCACGAGTAATACTTAGTATATATATATGAGAGATAAATAAATAGTTATATTCTATATATATATACAAATAAATATGAGATGAAAAAATTTAATGATAATCAAACTTCCTAAAATTGATGAGTTTTTAGTTTTTAATTAAATATAATTACCGAAGATATTTTAAACAATAAAAATTAAAAAAGACTTAATAGAGAAATAAACAAATTTTCTTGATAAACTAATGACCAAATAAGTCCACAAAAAAACTGACCTTCAAATTTCCCTAAATTTAAAGAGTTTAAAGACCATTATTGAAGTTCAATTTGTTGGCTATGAGGTTTAAAAAAAAAAGAAAATAATTAAAAACCAGATTTGGAGTCTTATGTCTGACTATGCTAGTGACATTAGAGAGACATAGTGTGAGTTTGGTTTTGTCGTTGAATTTGAGGGGTGGGTGATGGCTGATGAGAAATCTTCGATGGTAATGGGGAGTAGTAGAGAGAAAGATCGAGAGCTTCTTATACCAGTTGCCGATTCCGCTGACGATGACGCCTCTTCTAAACCCTCCTCTTCCGCTTCCTCTTCCCATCACTCCGGCCGTGAGGTAACCCTCCTCTCTCTCATGTGTACTGATTGATCGCTTGATTGACGCAGTTTGAATCCATGAAACGGTAAAGGGTTTTGGCTATTTTGGGTATTTGTACCTTTGTTGGTTAAGTGTGCGTTCTATTGCCAATTTACTGAGCTGTTTTTAGGTTTTCTGATCTGATTGCATAGAGGTGTGGCTGTTCTTAGTTATATAATTACCTAAATTTAGACGCACACTTTACTTCTTTTTTTTTTGCTTGTGGGTTGTGGGGGTTATGTCAGAAGACCAAATTTTGGTTCATGGGAAATTATAAGAGCTCTTTTTGATGCTACTGATTTTGTGTTCATCTTTTTTGGCATGTTTGGTTCTTGGAAAAGGTGGTTTAAAGGAAAGAAAATGTTGATTGAGGTTTTAAGAAAATAAGCTATATTATACTATTTCCCTTAATTTTGCTCACTTGCCAAGAACCAAGAGGAGCATTAATGTTATGATTTTTTTCCTGATTGACTTTTGAAGTGTTATGCTTTGAATTGTACTAGGATTTTTTTATATGGTTAGAGGAGTTTGTTGGTGAATATAAATATCAGTATGGATTTTTCATTTCAGATATTGCTCATTTAAGTAGTCTATGAGTTCATTTGGTAATTACCTGTGTTTTTGCATTGCAAATTCTGCTCTGTCAAGTATTACTCTACCTGGGTTCTTTTAAAAAATGTTAGACTATCTGGTTAGTAGGTTAACAAGCAAGCCTTTTGGCCTCTTCTTTATCCTTTCTAGCTACTTCAACTTTTTCCCAACCTCATCTGAATTAGCAGTGTGGTCACTTCTCTTCCTTGATCGTGGTCAATCCATCAAACTTGTGTTTCCTTATTGCTCATCACCTTATTACTTGACCTTCATAACTTCTTGATTTCATAATATTTAACATTTGTCTCATTTCACTATAATATTTGTTAGACTCTTTAACAGCCAAAATGATCTTATAAACCGATTATGCTTGCATTGATGTTTACAACTCTCTTTCACACACCATGTATCTGTGGTTCTTTAGAATTGCTTTCATGACAATTGAAAGGAAATCTTCTTCGATTATTTTTTCTGTAATGCCCCTTATTTGGGATCAATAATGGTCACTTTGGCTTTCGCCTAGCCATCAATCTGAACCATCATCCCTATCTTGATACATGATCCTAATATGTTTGCCATCATGCATTTTAACGTTTTCTTTGAGTTATTCGAAGCCTTAGTCACGGCTACAATTTTCTTTTGTTTTTTTGAATTTTCTCACTACTCCATTCATTTTTTAAATAGTGTGCAAGCAAGAAAAACAAACCTTAGATTCGGTATTCCATCTATTTATTGTTTTTTTCACGACATCGGCTACTCTTAAATAAATTGATGATTCTCCGATACAAAATCAGTAACATTTATATTGTTTTTATGGTGCTTTTGTCTCTTGTATCTCACAAGAAAACTACTTTTGCAGTGTTGATACTGTACTTTCTTTTTTGGATCAAGTTAAATATGCAGATGCCTAGCCCATTGTCCTAAACTTCTTATACTTCATTGAAAAGGCAGATGTAGTTTTCCTTTCTCATCTGTGAAGCAGAAGTGTTTCCCTGAACATACTCTGTGTGTGTGTGGGTGGTCAATAGTCATATGTTTTGTTATAGTTATGCCACTCCCTGATCACAAAATGTTTAAACTTATGCCATGGGGTAAGCTATTTAGCTAAGTTAACATGCTACCTTGTATTTAGATTTAGTGTTGTTATATTTGCATTCTTATCCATTTTTATTTATTTTGGTCTGACTACACAAATCTCTTATGCGTTGTCATCATGTAGGCTTTCTACAAAGTTGTTAGGAGCTGGGCTTCAAAGAAGTTTATGACAGGATGGTAAGCTGATTTTGTCCTCCATAATTTATTATCTTTCCTTCAAATCTTGGACACATACCGTAATTTGTTCAGTTATGTACATATTTTGAGTATTATAAACTGCATTCGAGTGTAACTTTTTTCTTATAATCTTTCAACCTGTGTTTATATACTTCAGTAATACAAAAATAGCTGATGGTTATCAAGATGATAAAGTTGGTCGCAATTCGCAGAGGATTTTACTTGAGATCGAGTCTAAATAAGCTGTAGGCAAGTTATTATTTGCTGCATGAGCTATTTTCTTGGTTATGTCCATAGTATTATGCTACAAGCATGTCTGTTTTCTTGGTTATGTCCATAGTATTATGCTACAAGCATGTTTGGTTCGGGTACAAACAAAGGATGAGATTGGATAATTGGTTTCTATCAAATCCATACAAATTGTATTAATAAGAGTACTATTTGATAATATCATTTGTGTAACAAGTTTCGATCAAAGTTGGTATAAGGTAAAAATCTATAATTATGCAGCCTTCGCGCCAAGGAAGACCACCCTTGTCCCTTTCCTTTCTCCATTTGAAGGCAAGAGTTTGCATAATGTGTAGCTTTTTTTTAGGATATGGATCTAGGTTTGTAAGAATAATAAAGTCATTGTGTTTTTAATGCTGAATCTGTTAGAAATAATACGACCTACAACATAATATTTATTAATACGTAATATTAGGTGTTAAATGACAATAGTGAACTGGGTCTGGATTAATGAGAAATTAATACCTGGTCACTCTAGGTCAATCCAAACTTGATATTGCATCATCATCAGATTAAATTAATTCAATCTAATCTCTAAATACCTGAACCAAACATGAACCAAACACGACATATTTTCAGTTGTAAGTTTAAGAGGAGGTAGAACATGTAATCTAAAAATTGCTATAGGAAAGGTTGTTGTCGGATCTGATTTGAGGGGGGAAGCGAATGGTGTATGTTCCATCTTGAGACTCCAGAAGATAATTCGCACTTTGGACATTGGTCAGCTCAAAAAATGAAGGAAGAAGTGATTACTTGTTCTTGTGGCCATCCTATAGAAATGTGGATATTGCCATTGTAGTCTGTACCCATGGATATTATACCTTACAATAACATAGTTATTATATTATTTTCCCGAGAAGTCTCTTGTCTATCAAAAGAAATGACCAAAAAGAGTAATGGTACACAATTATGAACAATGATTAGAGAAAGTAATCCCAAGTTTCCTTCACCATCAACAAATCCAAATTAATGCATGATGATGAGAAAGCTGCCATCTTTTGGTCCTTTGGTGAACTTTTTGTAGCTACTAATGTGTGATCCCATTGAAGATTTCTTAATGATACCTTCCAATGATATTAAACTTGTGAGGTTGATTTATATTTGTTTTTTTAACTTAAAGTAGTACTTGCTTGCTCTTTTCTGCTATACTTTTCACTTACTCTTAGCTTTTTGGCAGTGTCATCCTATTCCCAATAGCAGTCACTTTCTATATAACGTGGTGGTTTATTCACTTTGTGGATGGCTTTTTCTCTCCAGTCTATGCTCAACTAGGAATCAATGTCTTTGGTAAGCATGCCTATTTCTCTTTATCTATAATTTGTTTTGGTTTATTATACTAAAGTAATATGTCTAAAGACTTCACCATGGCAACTCTTTTGGACAAAGTAATTTCTTTTTTCTTTTTTATCTTGCCAAGCTTGTTCTGATACATCCATCTAACACAATTTGAGATTTGAAGTGAACATAGGTTTTTATTTAATCCACCTGGAAATGGAAGTAGTTTTTCTATACCAATTTTTACCATGGTTTCTATGGGCATTTACTCCTTGGACCTTTGCTGTCAGATCTTGTGATAAAGTTTATTCCTTGGACACAAAAGAAGGAAGATAGAGTTACTATTTCATCCATGAAGAAGTTGTTTTTTCTCTATTCTGGTTTTGCATTGCCAATGAATTTTTGCAGATCTGTGATATGTATACTCCAAATTTTGATTATTACGCAAATTTTTGCAAGAGAAATTACATACCCGCTCAATCTCTACTTTTGAGATTCAGATTGCCGGAAGCCAATGATAGTGTTGAGGTTGTCAGGTAGATGTAATGTTTTAGTTGTTCTTAATTTACGGTGGCGATTGGTGCTGCACAATGTATGGCATATTGTTGTTGCAGCTATACTTTTTTCTTTTTTGAAATATGAGATTTTTCACGTTTTTTTAGAATCTGACTCAGGTGGTCTAACATGAAACTCGTGCTTCCAATTTTTCAGTCATACTGTTGAATGTTGATAGAATTACTGAAAGTCGACTTGGTGGGCCACCCTTTACCCATAGATGTTCCCTTCACCGTCACGACTGGATTTCGCTTCTGTTGCACTAGAAAGACTTGATGGGTCTCGTTATTTAGGCTACAAAAGAGGCTAGAATTAATGTAAGAGTATTCCACAATTAATTAAGGTTGTCTAAGAAAACAGTTGGTATCTTCCCTTTATTTGGTGATCTACTAGAGATTTTTGGCGATTAATCATATGTTGTATTTCAGACCATGAATTGCTTATTTTCTTTATAAGTGGTGCTATTGGATGGGTAGATCCTATCCGATATTGGTTGTTAAGATTCTTGATGAACAATTCCTTTTGGCAATTAATCAATCTCCTTGAGTTTGACATGTGCTCCTCTTAATTCTTGGATAGGTCTAGGATTTGTGACTTCCATGACTTTTATCTTCTTTGTTGGAGTGTTCATGTCATCATGGTTGGGGGTGTCTGTTTTGACCCTTGGTGAGTGGTTCATCAAACGAATGCCATTTGTTCGTCATATCTACAATGCCTCCAAGCAGATTAGTGCCGCCATATCTCCAGGTGAGCTTTTTGTTACTTTCTCCTTCCCATGTGTTCCTTTTATCATTTTTGGTGATAAATGGATTATCATATTTCTATGTTATTATAGATCAGAACTCGCAAGCCTTTAAGGAAGTAGCAATCATTAGGCATCCACGTATTGGTGAATATGCATTTGGGTTCATTACTTCATCTGTGGTCCTCCAGGTAACTTTTATGGTATGATTATAATCGCCTTATGCGGCCATTCTTTTATGTGTTCAACTATCATCATTTGTTTGAAAAAGCTTGTGTGGGATGAGGCATGCTTGTTTCATGTTATGTTCAACATCGGGGCTTGGTTTGGTGTTTCTTTGTTTTCAACCTAGAAATATCTTTTGTTTTTTTTTTTTTTTTTTTTT